GGTGGGTCTTCGTCGCTGCGCGCGGGCTTTCTCTAGTTGCGGTGTGCGGTCTTCTCACCGCGGTGGCTTCTCTCGTTGCGGAACACGAGCTCAGGTACGCGGGCTTCAGTAGTTCAGGCTCACGGGCTCAGTAGCTGTGGCGCACGGGTTTCGCTGCTGCGCGGCACGTGGGATCTTCCCGGACCAGGGCTCGAACCCGTGTTCCCTGCATGGGCAGGCGGATTCTTAACCACTGCACCACCAGGGAAGGCCCTCTTTCTCTGGCTTTTTGTGTGTTTTGTCTGCAACTGTTTAAAGGTGAAAACCCACTGTGCCCTTGCAAACACAGGCCCTGCTTCTCTGGGTCCCGGGCTGGAACCTGCCACCCCCGCTCAGACAAAGGACGCATTCCCAAGGGGCCTGTGCGGACCAGGAGTCCCGCACACAGATTCTGGAGCGAGGACACTCCTCTGAGCCTTCGCATCCGCCATGAACGCGAACAAGCTACGCCCTAGCGGGTACCGTCCCCTCCTCCGCTGTTCCTGGGTTGACCCGTGTAAGCCATAAAATTACAGCAGAGGTGAGGGGGTGTCACTTTGAGGTGAAGTTCTTAGAGAAACACTGAGGCTCGATCTCGGGGCTGCTCTGTGCTAGGTCGTGGGCTCTGGCGAAGCCCCACCCTGAGCACCCCTAGGAAGAGGCCCGGTGGGGAGGCCCGAGGCCCCGCCACAGCCACGCGAGCCATCTTGGAAGCAGAGCTGCCCCCGCCCATCCCCACACCCTAGGCAGACCATGGGGCTGTGGCCCCAGCGGAGGCCTCGACTGCAGCCTGTGATGGACCCCAAGCCGGAAGCCCCCAGCCAAGCCTTCTTGAGTCCTGTCCTTCACACACGCGGGAGATGACGACGGTTGGCTGTGTTAAGGTGCTACGATTGGGGTAATCTGTTATGCAGCAATGGGTAAGTAATACACGATCATTTTAAATGGAGAAGACCACTCCAAGTCAGTCTGAAGCAAACAAACCGACGAGAAGCCCCAGAAGCCATCAGGAGAAGCCTGGAAAGTCTGATGACACAAGCACTAAAATCGTATGCCTGGCCAACACAAACCGCAAACCACAAAGTCAAGACACAAGTGACAAAGTGGGGCAAAAAAATAGTAGCAAGACGTGACTCAGGGCTCGTATCGTTAACGCATAGAGAGCTTGAACCAGTCAACAAGGAAAGCTCAACGACGCCAAGGAAAAGGGGGTGCAGGAGGGGACCGCGGAAAGTGCAAGCCAAAGGCTACCCCCCATCTGATCCCACAGCCAGAACGTGCTCGAGCGTTGGGGTCCCAGAGCTGCTGGTTCCGGGCACACATGGTGCCTGGTGACTGGCACTGCATTTGCTCTGCGCCTCCAACTAGAAGGCGGGCGATCCTGGAGCCGAACAAAGACCAGCCACCGCAAAGACTGGCCAAAACGGTGGGTGGTGGCGCTGGGCGTTGGGCAGGTCTGGGCAGCATCACCCAGGAGCTGGGAGACCCTCTTGGTGAGGAACGTTTGGCAGGAAAGGCGGCGGCGGCGGCGGCTGGAGAGGACTGGCCACGCCCACAGACCAGACAACTGTCAGGGCAGTTCCCGGGCAGACAACCCCCTTTCTGGCCTCCACCCTCCCCCAAATCCACACTCTTGGTCTCAGGGCCCGTGTTCCTTTCCCACCTCTGAGCTCGGCGGTCAGGTCTTTTTCCTCTGCCTCATCAGAGTTCTTCCCATCCCCACGCCCAGGCCTCCGCCCCTCCCTCCTAAGTGTCCAGATGTTATCAGCCCCAGTCGGGGAACTGCTGAGCACGTGTACAAACCTGACACCTGATCCTGCCGGGGTGCCGGGGGGGGGGGGGGGGGGGGGGCGCTGTGGACCACATCCTCAGGCGGGGAAGGGTGAAGGCTGCTCAATGGGAAGCCCCAGATCTCGCGAGAGTCAGCATCCTCCTGGCGCTTCCCAGGCCCGTGGGGACCCTGCAGAGGAGCCAGTCTGGGGTAGGGCAGGGGGCACACACCTAGGAGTCTCAGCCCTCTAGAGCAGTGCTTCTCACAGCGGGGTCCCTGGCCAGCAGCAGCATCACCCAGGATTGCTGGACTAGCAAATTCGCAGGCCCCACCCCAGGTGTGCCAGATCAGAGCCTCTGGGGTGGGGCCCTGCAACCCAGGGTTGAACGCGCCCTCCAGGTGTGCCTACGCGCCTCTCAGCGTGAGAACCAGCACCGGGATGGACGGTTCCTCATCGCACCCTCTTCTAGAGAAGCCATGAGCTTTCTCTCTCTGCGGGGCTCACCTTGACCTCCCAGGTGAGAGGCAGGCAGGCAGGCACCCACAGGTTGTCCTGGAGAACAGGCGTGCTTGGGCAGGATTCCTTCCCAGCAGGCCACACGTGTCAAGTGACATGGGGAAGACTTTGTTACTTCGTGCCGTCCCCCCCTCCAGCAGCATGGACAGACCCCCCTGGCCGACACCAAGTTTCTGGGCACGGCCGCAGCTCTGCCCACCTCTCCCTGGATACCACGTGTGTGTGGAGGGGGGCGGGTCCGTGCTTCACAGGGAACCGTCCGAATCACACTCAGGGGCGCTGGAACACAGTGGGCCAGGCAAGGGGTGGGGTGGCGGGAGGGTGCAAGCTCTCAGGATCGCGGAGCCAAAGGCCCCCGGTGACTCGGGGAACGGGGACTCTGGCCAGGCCCAGGACCCACAGGGGTGGGGGGCGGAGTCCGGGGAAGCTGGGCGGTGACCACAAGGCCGGGCCGTTGTCCCGGCGCGTCGAGCCCCGCCCTGACCGCCCCCACGCGGGTCTCCTCACTTCCCCTCAGCGCGCCCACCGTAAGCCGCGGAGCAGCGCTTTCCTGCCCACCCCTTCCAGCTGGCTCCGCCAATGACCAAGCTCGACTCGTGACGAGACCCGCCCCCAGGAAACCCGGCCCTTCTGGTGTGACGGGCACCTCCTTTGCCCAATCAAAACAAGCAGACCCCCCGCGCCCCTCTCAGCTCTGCCCCCCCCCCCGCGGTTTTTCTTCAGCCGGCGACCGGGTCGGCTGCGGGCCTCTAGGTGTCCCTGCCGGGAGAGCAGGGACTGTCCGTGCAGAGTGGCGCGAGTGGTCCGATGTGTACACGCTAAGCCCTGCTTGTGTGCTTTTGGTGTGAACTTGTATTCGGAAGGAATTAAGTTCACAGGAAGTTACAGAGAAACGGCCAAGAGGCCGGAGCACCTCCCGCAGTTCCCCCAGCGTCAGCCTGTCGCACAGCTGGTGGGACCGCACACCAGGAAAGGGCACTGGTGCCAGCGGAGAGCTGCTCCGGGTTTTATCCCCGTGTGTGTGTGTGTGTGTGTGTGTGTGTGTGTGTGTGTAGGGCTCAGCTGACCACCATGCCATCAGTATCCAGCCCGTCCCCTCACAAGGACCCCTCCCGTGGACCTTTCGTAGCCACAGCCCCCTCCCTCCTCCTCCCAACCCATGGCAACCGGGTTCTATTCTCAGCTCTGTAATTTTGTCATTTGAAGACATTACATAAGGACTGCCCTGGCGGTCCAGTGGTTAGGAGTCCCCGCTCTCACTGCCGAGGGCGGGGGTTCCATCCCTGCTCCGGGCCGGAGCTAGGATCCCGCGAGCCACCCAGGGCTTTTTTTCACTCACACACTGCTCTTGAGATCCATCCATCGGAACGGTTGCAGGTATCAATAGTTAGTTCTTCCTTTGTATTGCCAGCTGTCGTCCGTGGTTGGATCAGCCACAGTTTGTTCAGGCCTTCACCCACTGAGGGACATGGTGCCGATTCCCACTTTAGGCTTCTACAAATAAATCTGCTATGAACATTCGTGTACAGGTTTTCCTGTGGTCAGAAGTTTCCATTTCTTTGGCAGGCCTGCCCAACAGTGCAACTGCTGCGTTCTAAGGAGGTGGAAGTTTAGCCTTGGAAGAAACTGCCAATTTGCATCCCACGGTGGCTGGACCATTTTACACGTTAGCAACCCGCATATATTTAAAGCACATAATTGAAAGTTTTTACAGAACATTATCTTAAGCAAGACTGTTAACAGTTCTGTTTCTCACTTCTAAGTATGTTCTTGTATGCAATCACCAACATAGTTATACTCACACAGTTTTAAAAAACACAAACCCTGTACATACAATTGTGATTTTCTTTTAACTAGCAATAATATAGCTTCGAAATTCTTCCATGTCAGTACAGAAACATCTAGCTCATTTCTTCTCTGGCCACGCGGTATTTGATAGAGTACACGCCCTATAATTTACATAACAAATCCCCAACTGATGAACTTTTCCCTTTTCCCTTCTTCTTCTTCTTCTTCTTCTCCTTTTCCTTTGTTTTTGCTACCTGCTCTGAACATGTGTCAATGTCACCCTAGAATAATTACCTCTAAGTGGCCCTGCCAGGTCAAAGCCTATGGACATTTACAGTTTTAATGGACAGCACATAATTGCCTCCCCAAAAGACCCTGCTTGTCATACACTTGGGCTGTTAGTCCTTTGTTCCATGTGTTGTAAATATTTTCCCTCAGTCTGTCTCTTGTCTTGAAAGACTAGGCTGGCTGGTTTGGGCTGTCAAGAAGCTATACAATTTATTTTTTGCGGTACGCGGGCCTCTCACTGTTGTGGCCTGTCCCGTTGCGGAGCATAGGCTCCGGACGGGCAGGCCCGGCGGCCATGGCTCACGGGCCCAGCCGCTCCATGGCATGTGGGATCTTCCCGGACCGGGGCACGAACCCGCGTCCCCTGCATCGGCAGCCGGACTCTCAACCACTGCGCCACCAGGGAAGCCCGAGAAGCTATACAATTTTATATGAGCAAATTTATTAAACTCTCAGTTGATGATTTCTGGGTTATGTATCTTGGGCACAAAGGCCTCCTCCCTCGTGTGAGGAGAGTGTTGTGACTGCGGGGGGATGGGGCGGGCGGGATTTCTGAGTTCCATAGCAAATTCCTCATTGACCCTGGCTGGCATTCGGCCTGCCGGCTGATCACTCTGTGTGTGTGTGTGTGTGTGTGTGTGTGTGTGTGTGTGTGTGTGTGTGTATGCGCTTGCGCGCGCGGGGCGGCAGATTGGGGGAGGTGGTGTTTGTCACATGACCCCACGTTATGTAGACCGGGACTGGGGGCAGTGCCTCTCAGACACCCAGCCCCTGCCCTCCAGGGTGCCAGTCCACTTGGGGAGAAGACAAGGAAATGTGTAAGGAGAAGAGTTTAGCTATATTATTTAAGTGCATAGGTGGCCCGCAGGGGAGCGAGGGAGATCCATGGGGGAAACCGCAAATGGAATCAGTGGGGTGGCTGGGGCCGAGGCTGGGCCTGGGAGAGGAGCTGCGGGCAGGCTTTCCGAAGGGCTCAGAGTTAATGGGCCGCAGAAGGTGAGAGAGCAGAACTGAAATCTGCCTGAAAGCAGCGCTCTTGAACGGTCACCTGCACAGTGAAAAGGAAGGACAGGGCTGTATGAAGAAGTGGGTCCATCCCAGCATGGGTCTGAGTGAGCAGGAGAGGAGCCCCTGCCCCCATCATCCACAAGCTGGGGCTGCCTCCCCCCTCCCTGCCGCAGACAGAGGGGCTTCAGAGAACCGCAGGCTGAGAGAGACGATGCCCAGCGCCCCCCATCGTGGTAGTACTGCTGGGCTCCCCGAAGAGCAGTCGCTCCCTGGAAGGGGACACCTCACCCCCGGCTTCCCCCTCAGGACTCCCAGAGGCCCAGCGGAAGACGGGTCTGCCAGCTCAAATTGAAGACACCGCCCACCCTCATGGAGCATCGGACGGACGACTGGCCCTGTCAACGTCCTGTCCCCAGGGCATCCCTGTCAGAGGCCAGATAATATAGTTTTCAGTGAGGGCTGCGAGTGCCGGCTCCGTGCCTGGACTCGTCCATTCCACCCTCGCGGTGGCCCTAGGAAGTTGGGAGCATGTCATCCCCATTCTCCAGATGAGCAGATGAGGCCAACGTGACAGAAGGGTTGAGGAGCTTGTTCTGAATCACTAGCTAGCAGGTGGCCGAGGCGAGGTGTGGATGAAGGACACTGGCCTCTAAGCCTGACGTCCTTTTGCGGGGAGGCGCTGCATCTGGATTGCTCCCTCACAGGGAGGCTCCGGGGCGTGGTGGGTGTGGCATGTCAGCTTGTCCTGAAGGCATCAGAGGTGAGTCCTGGTGACTATCCCCGCCCTGGCCTTGGGCCAGCCCATAAAGGAAGGAGGGTAAGAAAGAGAAACACCTTCTACTCTTGTGCTTAATGGGGGGGGGGCGGCCTCTGAAACACAGACTGACATTACCTTTGGATTCTCCTGAGATCAGAGCAGTTCTCATGGGTATTTACCAGTCGTTTGCATTACTGTGATAGAAGGCTACTCCCACTCCCCAAATCTTCAGCAGCCTCCCAGACACAAAACAAAGATACCAAGGAAGGAATCACAGAGGTAAGACTAATTTTAAAAGCCCAGGCCGATTTGAAGAAGAAAAAGAACTTTAGGAATTAAAAACAAAGCCACAGTCATTGAAATAAAAATCTCAACAGATGAATCGAACCACAGATCGGATGCCACCGAAGAAGGAAGCAGTGCCCTGGAAGATCGGTGGTGCCTGGGAAATCGCCTCCTGCCCCTCCTGTCCCGTTCCCCCTCTTAGCGATGCTGCTGCTTTCTCCTTCCCTGAGAAACTGCCGCAGCCCCTCCTCAGAGATCCAGCCTCTGTTCTTCAAGGCCCCTTATCCTGCCTTCTAGGCTTCAGATGACCTCAACCCCCTCCCTTTTCCCCAGGCTCCGGGGCTGGGGGGCAGCTTCTTCCTGTACCATCTCTGTTTCTCCAGCCCTCCGATCCCTGGGTAACCTAGTGGGGCTCGAGGCACCCATGACCTGCGGGGGCCTCACCACTCATCAAGCTCTCCCCTGCGGTTGACTGGGATGAAGGGCCAGTGCAGCAAGTGCCCGGGGGAGCCGCAGCGGCTGCTGCCCTGAACTGTCGTGGAGGGGACGCTGGGGATCAAGGCTGTGTGTGGGGTGACTCCACAGTGTCCCCGGGAGTGCACGGAGAAAAAACTGACAAGGTCCAATTCCTTACCTCTCAGCTCAAGGCACAGTATGCCAGCCAGAGCACTTCCATGGCAGCCCTAAAAATTCTCTTCCTCCTGTAACCTGCAGGGCTGACGGTACTGGAAATCAAACACGACCAACACAAACGAAACCTGCATCATTGTGCGGGTTGCAGAATCCCAAGGTCACCTGAATTCCCAGCCCCTCCATGTTTCTCGTGTGAAGGCTACGGCACTGGCTGGAGGAGTGGGACCCTGAAGCCTAGAATCGGGACATCGGGTTGCCCTCGGTGGAGGCTGACAGTCGGGAAGCCCCCGGTCCCCTGCAGCCTCCCTTGCGGGTGGAAGTAGCCTGCCCTCCCGTCTCTGGCAGGCTGCTGTTCTCTCCCTTGAGGACTGTGTCATCACCTCACCTGGCGCAGATGCCTTGCAAGGGGACACCCTCTGTCCTCCACACCTGTGCCACCACACCCTGTTGCCATTAGACCCATAACTGGGGCCTAATCACAGCATGATCCAGGGGGACAGACCAAAGCCTGACCCTAGAGGAAAGAGCTCATGCCTCAATACATATTTTCCATAAGGATATTAAAAAAATATTTTCCAGACTTCACTGATATCTACCAACTGAACTGTATTTGAACGTTTGTGGTAGTAGGTTCTCAGGGTGTGCGACTCAGTAGGTGAGGTGGGCCACTCGATGGGGTGGATTAACTGATAGCGTATTTACTAGAGGTTCCAGATTAAGAGTATTAGGACAGGGGCTTCCCTTCCCTGGTGGCGCAGTGGTTAAGAATCCGCCTGCCAATGCAGGGGACACGGGTTCGAGCCCTGGTCCGGGAAGATCCCACAGGCCGTGGAGCAACTAAGCCCGTGTGCCACAACTACTGAGCCTGCGCTCTAGAGCCCACGAGCCACAACTACTGAAGCCCGCGCGCCTAGAGCCCGTGCTGGGCAACGAGAAGCCACTGCAATGAGAGGCCCGCACACCACAACGAAGAGTAGCCCCCGCTCGCCGCAACTAGAGAAAGCCCGCGCGCAGCAACGAAGACCCAACGCAGCCAAAAATAAATAAATAAATAAATTTTAAAATAAGAAAAGTATTAGGACATACAGCTGGTGTGTAGTCTAGCACCTCACATGCTTGGCTTGGACCTACTACTGACCTGCATTTCATGGGTTTTGATGCCAGAAATGCCCTGACAGGAGGTGCAGGACAGAATCCCTAGGCTTAGGGAGAGAGGAATTTGAGAGTACATTCATCATATCCAGCCTGAACACTCCATCCCCCAACTGTGTTCCAGGGATAGGTCCAGAAGCAGCTCTTTTCAGCAAGGTGCTGAGAGAGCCATTAGCGCAGGAACACGAGCGGAAGGACTAAGGACCCCAGGAACAGTCTGGCACGTTCCAGGAAAAGCAAGAATGACGGGCTGGAGCCAGGTGAGCAAGGCACAGAAAATGAGCCTCTAGGGCTTCCCTGGTGGCACAGTGGTTGAGAGTCCGCCTGCCGATGCAGGGGACACGGGTTCGTGCCCCGGCCTGGGAAGATCCCACATGCCGCGGAGCGGCCGGGCCCGTGAGCCATGGCCACTGAGCCTGCGCGTCCGGAGCCTGTGCTGCGCTACGGGAAGAGGCCACGGCAGTGAGAGGCCCGCGTACCGCAAAAAAAAAAAAAAAAAAAAAAAGAAAGAAAAGAAAATGAGCCTCTAAGAAGGAAATAGTTGGGCAGCCTGCTACAGGACTGCTTGATGCGTATAACCCTAAATCCTCTAGTTCTGGGAGCAAAAACCTGACTTGAGTTGCCCCCGTGGAGAGTCACACCTTCTCACCCAGTTTCCAGACCCAGAGCCCCCTGATGGAAGGGGAGGCTGTGTTCCCTGGGAAGGACCTAGCTGCAGCATTGCTGGAAGTGCACAGCGCAAATCTTCCCAAGCCTTCCTAAAGGACCCATTCACTAAAGTGAAAGGTCGTCCTGGAGAAGAACAGGTGTGTCACACCTGTCAAGTGACATGGGGAAGACTTTGTTACCTTCTTGCTATCCCCAGCTCTAGAAGCGTGGGCACCTCTGGCGGATACCTAGATCCCTGGTGGTATGGGTACTAGCTCTGGACACTTCTCTGGATGTATTCTTGGGCGGGCAGGGGGCGGGTCCGTGCTTTACCTTAGAAGATCTCAGAGGCACACTCAGGAGGCGCTGGAATTCAGTGGGCGGGGCAAGAACTGTGTGTGGGGGTGGGCGCCACATTCTGGGCCCCGGGAGTGTGGAAGCTCCCAGGATACAGATCAAGGCAGCTCTCAGAGGCCAGGACTGGGCCCAGCCGGACAAGGAGTGACGGTGCTCGTTTGCCATCTGGGTGGGGTCGCCACCTTCCTCTTCCCCTTCTCCAAGTCACCCTGGGGAGCACAACGTCTCTTTTCTCTGCCGGGTCAGGGCGGGCCCAACGGTGTTCACGGGCTCTCCTGAGCCCTGGATCTTGCGGGGCGGCTTTTTCTTGGCCTTTCTCGCGGGAGGGCACAGACCTCCTGGGGCCGACGCAGGCCCCGCCCCGGGTCTCCAGGAAAGGAGGACTTTGCGTACAGCTCGCAAACAAGAGGGCTCAGGACTCTTCGGTTA